TGAGTTAGGTCATCCACAAGCTCCGCCGGATGATCACCAAACTTTCGATCATCACCAAGTCGTCTAGGTGATGGCGATCACCAAAAGTAACAAGCACAAACTCTCACTTGACCATAACAAGCCTAATGAGAATGGTGGATGCACACTTAGTACTCTCCTTACACTAATGAGGCCTTAATCTTATATTCTCAAATCTCAATCACCTCACTAGACTCTTGCTCTCCTTTGCACTCTCAAGGGTGTTTCACAGCTGAACAAATGGGGCAAGAATCCTCCTTTGGACGAGAGGGGTAAGTATTTATACCCCCTCATTCAAAACATAACGTTTGGAGGCTGAGTCATCACTCTGCGGGGTGACCGGACGCTCCGGTCAGGGTGACCGGACGCTCCGATCAGTTATCCCCGCCACTGTGTCAGAAAGAGCCGTTAAGTTCTGACCGGACTCTGACCTGCGTCCGGTCAGTACTGACCGAACGCGTCCGATCACGAGAACTGCTCTCTGCAACCTTACTGATGTTGACCGGAAGCTGGCGCCCAGAGTCCAGTCAGTCACCGGATCCTGACCAGCGTCTGGTCAGCACTGACCGGACGCGTCCGATCAGGAATCTCCCTCTCTGGAACCTTTCTGGAGTTGACCGGACTCTGGCACCCAGCGTCCGGTCACTTTTCACTCAGCGTCCGGTCGTAACCAGACGGCTCCAGTTGATCAAATGAACTGACCGGACTCACCCTTCAACGTCCGGTCACAACCAGACCAGCGTCCGGTTAGTCATTTGACCCTCCATTCACTTCCAACTCAAAATCATATGTGGATGAAGTTTGCTCCAATTGATCTTAGGGCTACTCCGGAACTAACTAGTGCTAGATTTAACAAGTGTGCACCACACTTAACCCACTAGACTCACCTATGTCAAGCTACTAGTCCATATCCCCCTTAATAGTACGGTCAAAGGAAAAACAAAGTCCTAAACTACTCTAAGTGTCTCTTCAACACCATACGACATTTAGAACTAGTCCATTCTTAACCTTGTCGTCTATCCTTTGAAAACCGAAACGATTTCCATCGTAGGGGTATGATAACCATGATTGCCCAATCAATTGTCATTACCATAACCTAACTTAATTGCCTCTGCAAAACACACGTTAGTCATAATAATCTCGTATTATCATTAATCACCGAAACCCAACTAGGGGCCTAGATGCTTTCACCATGGATGACAAGGAAGCGAGCAGGCGGTAATTCTTTTTCCTATTTTGCCATGACGGTCACGAGCCATCAGATGTGGTAGTGGACGGCGGATTGTGTCGCGGATCGAATCGTAGGTCCACGTGGAGAAATAATGCGTGTGTGTTTGGAGTATTACACGTCCAAACGAAGAACCAACGTGACGGTATATTAATGAGTATGTTCTAATATAATATAATTGGACCCAATATATATTAGAATCGGACTCTATATTATCGCTAGACGCGTGTTGTTCTAACACATATTAACACGGCTTATGAGTCCGGGTCACATACACGACCCAATACGTTTTGGAATTGGACTCCGTATCGTGCTTGGCAAGAGCTATTCTAACTCGTTTGAGCACAGATTATATATATAAGTCTTGACTGACGAAACTTTCTATTGTCTAGTAGTTAGAGGGAGACGGACAAAAAAAAAAAAATAGCAGGAAATTTTGCCTCTTTATTATTAGGCTAGGAAATATGCTCGTGCGTTGCAACGGAGGATATAAATTGTTATACATTTGAAGCTTTTCATGTTATAAACCTATATAAATGGCAAGAGGAAATATGGAGTAAGCCGGGAGACATGGAGGGAGGATATAAGGGCTGAAAAAAATGCTAGAGAATCAAAAGATAACATTAAAGAACGGAAGGTGCACATTCTAGACTCGGTGCAGATGTTGGTGGGTCTTCAAAAAAAAAAAAAAAATTGGTGAAAATAATGGAACTGAACTGCTTCTCAATATAACACACAAGAAGATTAACTTAATAGTGATCTACCAATTTTCACTTGGCCAATCTGTGGAATATCCCATTGAGCAAAAGGTGACACTATCTCTACATCCGTAAAGGCTTTTTCCAATGTTTCTCTAGAGGCTCCTGCAGTAGACTACTCCCCTACCTCTAAATAGCCAGCAGCAAGTACATGATTGCTATGTTCGGCAATAAACTTGACATTTACTCATGGTCTGCAAGATTGAAAAATTTGACAAAAAGAACTTGGACAACATGGTACGTAATAATTGGTACTGCATCAAAAGATAAGAAATCCAGAACCCTATCAGCTAGAGAGTTTGTCGAAACAGAAAAACCATTCCTAAGACAAAGAAGAAAAGAAAAACAATGTAATAAAAACATATATTATCAATCTATAATATGGCCTCGTATTCTGAACAGTTGAGGCAAGGAGAATTTGGTTAACATACACTGCAAATCGCATTTGTTGTACATAGTTCAAAACTTGTTGCACTGAGAATATCAAAACGTACTGAAGCTAAGCCTATGCCATGCATTGACTCTTATAGAGCAGAGTAAAATCAAACTGGATTCTAATTGCCATGATGTACCTCAAGTAAAGACCTGTAATCTTTTGATACACAGACGTTAAGAATTGCATCTTTACTGAAACCAAATGTGCCAGGAAGGACTAATTCAGAGTAAAAACTCGATGAATAAGTAGCACTGAAAACTAAAAGAAAACTGATATGGGATAACAATTTTGTTAGAAAATATAGCTTCCGTTGTTGCTATTTATGATTCCAATGCTAGAATGTTTCACCAAACAGTTGGATGCTTTAAAAAATGCTCACAAAACATACTCTCACTATTCCTCATTCAGCCATTCCTAGTACCAGTTTTGCATTGCTAGAACTAAATTCTTGATTGAGCAAAGATCTGTAACCTTTGAAACACAAGAATCAATGCTGTAAACAAATGTAGCACCAAATTACACGAGCATACCATCTTAGATAAGGATTTCAATTTTTTTTATTTTGATTGACAGGTTGGTGGCCATTTATTTTCAGCATGATAGTCATTACTTATTGGAATAGTATCAACTAAAAATGATCACACAAACATGTAGAACTGTTCTTACTTACAAGAAAGGTGTATAAGATAATGAATACCTGGTCTGCAGATCAAATCTAGATCATGTTTCTGAAGAAACTCAGCAACTATGTCAGCTCCAAAGGTGTAGGAAACACCCCTATCATTCTCACCTCACCCATCAATCTCTTTATCAGGGTCCCACCATAGCAAATCACAAAGGAGACCAGTGTCAGGAACATCCACAGGACGAGAAATGTTAGGGTCCATGTTCTTAAGCTTAGGAGACAACCCCCATGCATGCAAAAGATCTTATCATCAATAAGCCAGCCACAAGGAGGCAGTTAAAGCGCTCAGTGAGAATATATCTTCCAGATACGAACATTGAATCAAGGACAGGGTGGATCGGTGATGCGAAGGCACCTTGAGCACCAACGACCCATCCGGCTTCTTGCCGGTCGGCTTTTCTGATCCTAGACGGTCGTTCGTTTCGATTCCGATTTTAACTTGCCGTATGGTGAGCAATTCCGCTACGCCATGGAATACGGCCACGGCGACGGCGAAGGCAGGGGCTTCTTGGGAAAACGCGGCAACAGGCACAGGCAAAGGAGCCAGCGTGCGGACGGAGGAAGCACGCGGCGCTGCGGCGGCTGGGGCAAGCGGCGGTGGGACGGAGGGAAGCCGGGGCGGCGATCCGTGCGGACAGAGGGAAGCCGAGGCAGCGGTGCGTTCTGACGGCGGATGGAGGGAGTACGAGATGTGGACGGATTAGAGAGAAGCGAGTTGTGGGCCGAACGCGAGTCAGAGCAGGTTTGGGCCGAATGCGAGTCCAAGCAGGTTTGGACCGAAAAGCTATTGATGAATGGGCCGGACGAAAAACAGGGTGGAGAAAAATTTGGCTTTTTAATATTAGGGATAGATTTGTAACACGACTGATTACTGCGATTCTTCTATAAGCCAGCGAATCAGGAGCTTGTTAAAGAATCATCACACATGAGCCTCTGGTTGGAGTCGAATCTCTCGCAATTCGCAAGCATATGTTTCCTTCCTTTCCTCCCTGCTCCCTCCCTACAACAAGCAGCCTGTTTAGGAGACCGTATCGTATCGTGGATTATTTACTGCTGGTTGGTTTGGTGTGAGAGAAAAACACGGTTTCCGGCTGAAAATTTACGATCGTTTACGAGCAAGCGAACAGGCTGAAGATTCGTGTCCGTACATCCAAACGAAGGGACTGGTCAGGTGGGGCCCCGCACAGTGACTGGTCACTGTTCTGCGGTACTCCACGCTGCACACACGCACTCCACGCTGCACCACGCACCTCGAATGAAATTGAGCTGAGCAAAGCGCTGGCAGTGGAAAGCCACGAACCTTGGCCTCGCCCTGCTGAAAGGCAGCCCCTCTTTTCAGTACCCTTTCAGTTTTCACCTCTTATTTCCTCTCTCTCTCTCTCCAGCTTTCAGCTTTCCTCACTCCCCCTCGCTCTCCGAGTCTCAGCTCAGCTCCTCACACCGTCACACGCACCACCACCACCTCACCCTTTTTGGATTCTTCTTCCCAGGCATCGCCTGTCTGCCCCCATTGGCCCATGCCCCACCTCACTCTTTGTGGAATCCTAAATTCTTGCCTCCCCTCTGCTTCTTCACCTCCCTCTCCAACTAGGGAAAGGAGCAAGCGGCAGCAGCAAGCCAGCTAGGTAGCCATCAGCAGCCACGCCCACGCCCGCCTCCCGCTTCTCCTGCTCCAGTCCTGGCCGGTGGCATCCCTCCCTCTGCGATTTGTTTGTATATATGCCTGCGCGCCTCCCTCCCAGGTTCTTGCCATGCGCCGTCGTCTAGGATTCCTACCATCGCCCTCTGTTCTTGCTTCCATCTTTGTCGCGATGACAAGCGCGTGCTGATCGCGCGCCCGTGTGATGATCGCATGCAGGAGTAGGTAGTCGGTGAATGGGAGCCGAGGCAATGTCGTCCCACGGCAGCAGGGTCGGTGGCGGCGGCGGGGCCCTGTCGTGGCAGGGCTCGGTGTGCAGCCTCACGTTCAGCGAGGTGGAGGGCCAGCTTCACGGCGACAACCTGGACGACCTCCTCCGCTCGGGCAGGAAGACGGCGGACGAGGTGTGGCGGGACATCCAGGGCGCCGCGGCGGCCTGCCCGCGGGCCCAGATGACGCTGGAGGACTTCCTGTCCCGCGGCGGCGGCCCGCCCGCTGACGCCGCCGCGGATACGGACACGGGCTCCGGCGCCTGCGGCTGGGCGCAGCAGCTGTACCAGCCGGCCCCGGCCCCGGCTGCGCAACTGGAGTTGGGCCGCCACCGCCCCGCCGTCGTCGGGCGTCCCGTGCCGCGGCCGCTCGGCGCGGGCTCAGGGCCGGTCCTGGACGCCCTGTACCACGACGGCCAGGAGGGCGGCGCCGGGGCGAAGCGTGCCGCCGGCGAGGGCGGCGTGGCGGAGAGGTGCAACGAGCGGCGCAAGAAGCGCATGATCAAGAACCGGGAGTCGGCGGCGAGGTCGCGCGCGCGGAAGCAGGTGGCGTGCCAACCCCAATCCCCCCACTGCATTAGAATATTAGATGAAATGAAATGGGCGCGTACTTATAAACTTGTGGTGTTTGGATTCATTGATGAAACGCAGGCGTACACGAACGAGCTGGAGAACAAGATCTCGCAGCTGGAGGAGGAGAACGAGCGGCTCCGGAGGCACAAGGTATGGCACCGATGCACAAATCAAACCATGCAGCCCCAATCGAATCCACTACAAAATTTTTTGAGACGAATATGGCTTCAGTACCATTGCGTGCTTCTAGGTCGAAATTTGCAGTTGAAGAGCTCGTAGGAACAACTTGTGGTAGCACTCCAAGTGGACATGGTCAATTCTTGCCTTCTTGGTTTATAGAGTATATAACTAGAGCGCGCAAGCACGAATCCTAGATTATAAACCTAGTGCTCCATGAGACAATGACTCACCAAAATCCGCCATCCGTGTGTATTAGGGTTAAGCTGGTATTATCGTGGACTCGTGGTGACACGCTTTGATCCATATCCATTTGGTTTCACATTTGTCTCAAGTTCATCCAAATAAATAGCATCAGCATGTAACGCCACCTTGTGTGTTCCCCTTGCTGTTGCGCTGAGAAATGACGGCTGCTAAGAAATGTGTAATACACGACAAGAAAACCCTTTTGTTTCTCTTGCTTGGCATCAAACCATTCGGGCATGTTCGCTTGAACTTATCAACCGGCTTATCAGCTGGAATCTACAATATTTTTCTCTCACAACAAAACAGTTTCAACCGGCTTTAATACAAGCCGAACATGTCCGCAGGTAACCGTACTGCTTCGCGTTACACTTTCTCCTTTGGAGCTATTGCTGCTAGGCAAAGACAAACAATCTGCTCGATTTGTTGATTTCAATCGGGGTTTATCGGTACCAATAAGATTTTTCTCATGAAATAAACCAACACTAACCTAACTTATCGGTACCAGAAACCAATCAGCCAACAGGCCGAAAGGCTAGAGGGGGCTAGTGCAGTACGTGGTCACGAACTCTGAAACTGCGCTTAGTGTAGTGAAGGACTTGCCTGTGTACGAGCTGAACCAGATATCGTGAATTGGTGCTCGGTGTGCAGACGACATTCTCACTTTCCACCTGGAAACGCGGAGCAAGATTGAGATCGCCGACGATAGCAGTACCAAGGAGTATTGGGGGTAGAAACACGCAAGATCCGAGGTAGATTGCACCGGGATTACCACGATCTTCTTATTCGGATATTATTTTTTCACATCTACATAATTACAGGATGCGAGTTGCTGCTATACACTAGTACTCAATATAGCCATAGAACATCCATCCATGATCCATGCCACCTCGTCGCCCTCGGCGACTCTGCGCTCTACCACATTTCTACAGCCAGCCGTCCATGCCTCCTGGCGGCCGCCGGTTGGCCCCGACAAGCTCGTCGGGACCCGAGAGGCCCCTCGTCCTCCCCTGCCGGGTTGGTCGCGTAACCGTAACTGCTTCGCGTTACACTTTCTCCTTTGGAGCCGGCGCGCAGCGGCGCAGGGGGTCTTCGTGTTGCGACGTGCCAAGTACTGCCCGTTTTGCCGCTGTCCACGCGTGATTGGCTCTCTGCTGCTGTGAGCGGTTTCAGTACATGACGTCCCACGAATCCTGATTGATGGCCGCCCTGGACCACAAATTTGTGTCCAATCAGCCCGTCCCAGGCGAGCCTTTTCTGCGCATCTTCAGATCTTCTCGTACGGGAAATTCTCTCCTCTCCTCTCCTTAAAAACTCCTTTTCCATCCTGTTTTGAGAAGGGGAAAAAAAGAGAGCGAAAGTGAACCATAGATATTCTAAAATGATCATTCGCTTGGCCATCTGCAAATGTGAAATGTCAGCGTTGGATGGTCGACCATTCCTATCCATCTTTCGGCCATCGCCCAGTGTTTCTTATGTATGCAGCAGCCAAGCCAACCAATGCGTTGTGGAGCAAGTGCGCATTGGACTGACATCACTGCCAATGACATCGTGGTCGTGGACGATCATCCGTTCCTGTCCCACTTCCTGTTATAGAACAATTTTATTACGCAACTGCCAATGCCTGATGTCTGCTCATTGGACAGACACGAGACATCACTAGTTTTAGTTTGTACTCCCCGTCAGCAATACACTACTTTTTGCCCATTGGACTGGATTCAGCTTGATGTGAAAGTATTACCGCTAGTACCAGTACATAATACCATCTTCACATCTATCTTGAACCGCGTTTCGACGCTTTTCTTTGCCGGTTTTCATAGTCGTCTTGTGCTCCTTTCTATGCCCTGTGTCATGCAATCTGAAGACAGTATGTATAACCCTGCAAGTGACAATCTCTCCGAAAGGTGAGATCTGTATCCTACCCTGCACTTTGGGGGTGGGACACCCTGACATAATTGTCCAGAAAAATCACAAGATGACCAGACCAAACAGGCATTCATGAACTGATAAACCTCTACTATGTTGGCTCTATGTTGGTATACTGGCATAGCAATGCTCCAGAACGGGTGCGGCCGGCCTAGGTGCTAACTTCTCTCACAGCTGCTGCCAATTGACTGGTGTGTTTCAGGAGCACCGTGCTTCACAGAACCAACTTGAGCGATTTCTTTCTCGCAAGGCGGTACACTGAAGACATTCTTTATACACATGCAGCACGATCGAAAATTCGAAACTGCATGCCTTTACGTGCTGAAGAACTGTATTCTTTTTTACTTCTCAGGGAACGATGAGCTCACATAGACATTTGCTCTTTTGAGATCTGGACTTCGTCCCATACTTCGATGTCCCATATATGTATTAATGTATATATGTATATGTCCATTGGAACTGTAAACTGATACGGCAACTGTTTTGTTCTTGCTGCAGGCACCGGAGCCGGTAGTGCAGTATGTGCCGCGACAGGAGCTGAAGAATCAGCTCCGGCGGGCTAACTCGGCCAACTTCTAATCATGCTAATAGTAGTAGTGAGCTGTCCTGGCACTAGGCTGTTCCAAGTTGTAACTGCCCTTCGGCCTGTTGGGAATACTCATCTAGTTTGTAAGAACTCTTCTATGCAGTCTCCAACTTGCAGAATGGATTGGCTACTGTTGCAAACCATTGTACTCCTACCATGCTGTTGTTGCGGCAATCTTGCTTCCAACTGAACTTGCAACGTGCTGTATGGTTTCCCAAGGGCAAAACAATGAGGGTTCCATCTATCTTTCAGCTGTCTCTACTAATATTTTTTTATTCAACTCTTCCTTTTTTCCCCCCTCCAAAAGGGTAGACTAAGCAAACGAATTTCAGGATATCCTAAAGAGAAATTTCATTCAAAACTGAAGCATGACTCTGTAAACTGGTCTGTTCTGTATTTATCAACAACTGGGTTAACATAATCTCTAATTGGTATACATCAAGTGCTGTCACTGTCAGCGTCCTCTTCCTCAGGGAGTATCAAGCGGAGGTCCTCGTTATCTCTGTAGACTTGGACCAAAGCTGCAGCCTTGTATGCAAGGAAACCCATCATCCCTGGAAGAACCTGCATAAAGAGAGCTAGTCTTTCAAGAAATGTTTGCGGAAGAATATATTCTGGAGGGTATATCTGGCAATCTGCCAATTAAATGAGATCCAGTACAGTAGCAGAGTGGTGCTCTCACCTCAAAACTGAAAAAGCTATTTTGGAAGTGATCTGATAAAGCTGACAATCCAAAAATCACGGCAGGAATCACAAGCCTTGGGGATGAAAGAGCTACTCCTGCACCACCTAATGTCTTCTCTATTGTATTCTTCAAATCTTCACTTGTAATGCCAATTCTAGCATTCCCATAAATAGGCATAATTATTTAAACAATCAGAATGCGAGGAACCGAATAATGGGATACAGACTGCAGGTGGAATGTTGAAACCTACTTCTTCACTTTCTTCCTAAGAAAAACCTCTGGAATATCTTCCTTTGATAGATTATCGGCATGTCGATACAGAAGTTGAAGATACAAGCAACTGTTCAGCATAAGAGCAACAAGTTTCAGAATACTTGAAGCACTTGTTAAAACTTCAGCAGACATCATGAGTAAAAATCTCCTAAGCTGCGAAGGGCTTGCTTACCTGAAACCAACCCCAAAAGCATAACTGACAGCAGTCTGTTCAATAAGAAGATTAATGATTTAGTCACAGTAGTTACTCACATGTAGGCACACTTAAAAATTGTTTTATGTTCATTAACATCGAATCATTTCAAAGTAAAGGCAGAGCTGATAGTCTTAGCTAGGTGTCTGGATGTCCAATTAATGATGAGACCATTAATAAATCATTCAAGAAAGAGCACTTCATACAAGAAAAAAAATTACACACATCAAATTGTATGTTTGGTGCATCCCCTTATATTGGCTCGAGTCCATGATTCAAAAACTAACACAAATATGGTGCAAGGTCCAGAATGCATAAATGACAAACTATGGGCAATTTGCCCATACAACCCAGTTCAGCCAGTTATGCAGAAACATATTAGGTAATGCATTTTATTATCCATAGAACCGAGCTGCTGTTTTGGGGGTAAACATCAGTTGGCTTCAAGAGTTCTAAATCAGACACAGAAACGTTTAATTATGATATAGAGTTAGTTTACTTGTTTCTTTCTTTTGATATGAGGATGTACCTCGAGAGAGAAAACCAGGAGACAGTATAAACTACATGCTGCTCCAATTCCTGTGGTCAAGAGCAGCAATTCATCCTTGAGCTGCAAGGTATCAATAGATGAACATGTAATTACTCTTTTAAGCAATACATAGAAAATGAAAAATAGAACACTGGAAAGGAATCATACTGCTTCATATTTCAAAAGATTCAGCTCCTTCCTTTTGTCGCTCTCATTCTGCCTATCCTGTCATCATTTGCAATCATTCCCAATTCTCCATCAGCTATTGTTTTTTTTTATGAAATCCATCAGCTATTATTGCAATAGCATACTCACAATCCTAAACAATGAACAGCAAGGATGTCACACCTTAGCAGACAGCCTCTTGCTCAAAGGAGAGCTGCTGTCACCGGACACCCAATCTCTGGTTGCTGCTAATCTCAACATTCCCTCATCCACAGCATCTTCCCGCACCTATATCCCAATTGGATCGGTTAATCTCTGTTATTAAAGTCGAAAACACAGACATGTACTTCTCTTTTGACCCCCTAGGGCACCGTTAAGGCGTGTTGTATTAAACTTTTTCTCTATCTTAATATAAAGGCCTTTTGCGTGATCGAGAAAAACATCATTTGACAGAACTGATCGAGGCTGGGCAAATCTAAGCACTCCCTTGAAAACACATTCACATCATGATTGGGGAACCACCTCTAGTCCCGGTTCCCCACAGAACTCCGGGACTAAAGGGTCTCGTCTTCAGGCTGGGCAACATCTACACCGCACTCCCTTGGCCCGTTCAACCCAAGACCTCAGTCGCATCAACATTGGCGCCATTTCTCCTCCAGACCATGTCAGAGAGATCTTGGTGACCGAAAAGTTCTTTCGCCGTGCAGCTGCCTCTCCTCAAGGAACATGCGCCAGGACCTCCTCCCCAATACTGTCCCCAGCCCCAGCCGACCCCCGCGAACTAGTCTCATCGCTGACCTAACCCACTAAAGGGTGAACACCTAGCAGCAGGTTAAATAATCTATACCAACCCAAAAAAAAACACGAAAGTTCTACTGATTGTCTAAGCGCTCGGCATTCGATACTCCAGCCAGTGGCGGACCCAGCCCGAGAAAGCCAGAAAGGAGGTAGGGCAAAATTAGACTACAAAATTTTGGCAATAAACAACAACATGAAAATCAGAGTACACGAACTGCTACTGCTATCCTCTACTGCTTTTATGTCTTATGACGACAGGTTAGGCAGAATGAGAGCGACAAAAGGAAGGAGCTGGCCAAAGCTCTAGCATGCACAAGGTCGACAAAGGCAAGTTACCACATTAGGCAATGACATTAAAATATCCCAACCTGCTAGTCAAGCTACACTGTACCGGTAAACAAAACTAAATTGTACTGTACCAACCAAAAACAGAGCAGTATACTACCACTTGACCCTTGAGCTGATGAAAACTGCTACCTTAACCCTCAAGCTGATGAAAACCACTATCTGCGGAGCTGCGCAACTGCAACTGTTACTGCTGTTGACCCTAAAAGAACAACCGAGCTCGAGTAGTTTTTGCTGCTGCCTGCTGCTGAGCAGCAAAAGAGGAACGCAAATACTGCCGCTGCGCCGCGGGCGCTATCGGTGGCCGGTGAGGAGCCGCAGCTGGCCGGCTGCCGCTGCACAGCGCCTGCTGGGAACGCGCAGCGAACCTGCAGGAGAGCGTTGGGGGCTTGGGGCGGAGGGCCGGAGATGGAGCCGGAGCTCGGAGGGGTCGGATGGAAGCACGGAAGTTGAAAGATGGACCAGAGGGGGGGCCGGTGCGCCGGCGCAGTGAGGGCGAGCCGCCGTCGAGCGTGCTCGGAGCGCCGCCACCGACTGTGGATGTGGCGATGGTGTGCTGATGTGTGCTGGTTGCCCTAGCATTCGACACCTCCGGCGACGGAGAGGTAGGAGCACATCCAAAACGGATGAGATTATGAAGCAAAAGGTGGGTGAAAATACCTTGGGCTTGGAGGGAGGAGTATCGGAGAGCCGAGGTCCGCGGGAGGGGCCTGCGAGCGAGGGCGGGACCGAGTGGAGGGAGCGACCCGCGAGCGGGGAGGCGGCAGCAGCGGAGGCCGGGGAGCCCCATGGCCATGGCGGTTTCAAGCTATCAGGACTGTGGTTTCAAGCTAATCAGGATTCAGGACGAAAAGCGAGCGAGGCAAGGCTGTGACTGGCCGTGGCCGTCCTGGCATCTCGCGACAATCCAACTCCGGAAGCCCTCACAAAACCGTAAAATATCTTCGCGTAGCTAGTCTACGAAAAAATTCATCGGCTACGAAAGAGAGATCAAATAGCTAGGGATTTTAAATAGCTAGTTTAGTACGATCACTAAAAACATTTCTTTCATAACTCACGTAACTCTCCACAATGTTTATTTTTTTATTATTTCTATACTTTATCTGACTAGTTATTTGCAAATTGCCGTTGCGGACGCCATAACGGCCAGGTCTCAATCCTATCCAGCTTTTGTTTTGTGGCCCGGCCCAGTAGACAAGGAACTTCTTTTATGACACTAGATAATTCCAGACAGCTGACACAGATTCATTCGGTGCCACCATGGCCAGAATGCTCAAGTGTTGAAATAATTCCAGACAGTTGACACAGATTCATTCGGTGCCACCATGGCCAGAATGCTCAAGTGTTCAACACGCATCACACGTGCTAAGCATGGTTGTCAAAATCCCAATTGTGCCGTACATTTACGATCGGTATTATCACGAGAGGTTTGATCTCCGATTTTAGTCAATAGAATCTACAATATCCTAAGATTCCGATCTATGCTATTTAGACTTTGCGATTTCGATAACCTTAGAAAGAAGAAAGCCAATGCAGGCACCATATATAATGAAAGCCAATGTAGGTAGCGAAGCTATTCGTTGGAAGATAAAAATGTTGACAGGCGAGAAGATTGAGCAGATCAACAAGGACAGTGGACAACCTCCACCAGCTGAGTCGATCCACGATACCAAGTACAAGTTTCTTGTGTTCATAAATCACAGCAGGATGCTTCCGGTAATTCCACAAATATAGCACAAGGTCAGCGCACTAGCTTTTATGGAAATTACAGGAATTATTCTAGAGATATGGAGAAGCAATCCTTGCCATGAAGACTGGTCAATCACAAGATATTATTAGCCCGGAGGCCAGTTCATTTGCCTGCCTCCGAGGAGATGAACGTGGATGTGGTAAACAGATTGACCTGCAACCGAAGAAACCCACAGGTGGTTAGTACGGAACAGAAGTTGCCAAACAAGGACCAGAGAGTGGTTTACAGGCATTCAGTCAGTTGCACATACATCCACTTGGGCCGTCGTTGATGACAACGCGATAGCCATCTTCAAGTCCTTCCTGCTTTGCAACAACCTTGGCAACATAGAGGAGGTAGCCAAGTATCTCTACGTGCCTCTCTTCAGCCTATGAAGTGGGAAAATAGGCCAAGATGAAATGTATTTCTTTTGGCTTTTGAGGATTACAGATTTTAGACAATTATACAGTACAGTGTAACTGATGAGCAGTAAACTCTACCTTTGACAGGCCAGTTAGTCCATCCTTGACTTTGGGGATGATGAGGATGTGCGTTGGAGCTTGAGGGTTTATGTCCCTGAAAGCCAGTACCTGGAACCAAAACATCTGATTGATGCACTTCATAGATTACGAATACTCATAATCTGTAACAGAAGAAGAACCACATATTGGGCTGAAGGTTTAGCCATTCACACAGCAGTAAACAGCAGAATTCAACCAAGCACCCAGTTCACTCAGAACCTTGCAATTTAGAAATCTATTGCACAGTAGCCATTGATAACATAGAAACTCAGATCCCTATACTCCTGTAACAAGATAATTGACAAGAACAGCTACTTGGTAAAAGACCAGGTTCCTTGTTCTCATTTAAATAAACTAATTTTGCATAGAAGTGATAAAGCTTAAAAAGAATATGCAGATCTGATAATTACAGTTTTCGCTTACATAATATGCTTTCTACTTTGAAATGGTAAAAGTTCACCAATTTCGGAAGCAGCTTAAATAATAAACAAGACAATGAGACATTGAGCCTTATAAGTTCTAAGCAGCAAGGCTCAGTCAGTCGCCCAGTTTTCTGTTTCACTAACAAAATGTAATAATCATAATTATCTAAAGATGCGCACATCATCACATAGTCCACCTAGTAATAGAATATTCTTACTGCAACCTGAAACAAGTTTTAAGGGGTTACTTGGCATACACATAACACATAGGTACTAACATTTTTCCAGCATATCAATTCAACATATGGGCACCAACAGCATTTGACCACTTATTGAGAACAACCCTCTCACAATTTCCCGCATCACAATTTCACATGCTTATCAGTTGTCACTTATCAGGAAATTAATTTTCATAGTACCATGTCCTAAACATAAAGCACATAATGGAATAACTGCAGGCAAAGCAACCAACGGATCATCTAATAAAATGTTTTTTTCAACCTAAATGAATATAGAGGAAAACACTACACGATACCTTCTCGTCCTCATAAACCACAGTAGAAGGTATTTCCTTTTTGATGATCTTGTCAAATCTGCAGATGCAACAAACATC